CGAACGGCTGCAGTCAATCATAGAGAAGTGCTCAAGAAACGACCTCAACATTCTGATGGGAGATCTAAATGCCAAAGTCGGAATAGACAACACCGGATATGAAGCTATCATGGGACGACATGGATTAGGAGAGAGAAACGTAAATGGGGAAAGACTTGTAAATCTGTGTGCATTCAACAAATTGGTCATAGGAGGCACAATATTACCACACAAAGCTATATGGATCTCACCGGACCACACTACAGAGAACCAGATAGATCATAATGGCATAAATAAAAATTCGGACGGACAATGGAAGATGTGAGAACCAGGAGAGGAGTTGATATAGCTTCAGATCACCACTTAGTTGTAGCCAATTTAAAACTGAAGCTAAAGAAGAACTGAACAAACAGCATTACAAAGTTTCAATACAACCTTCCTTCGAGATACTGACAAACTCAATGAATTCAAAATAGCTCTCAACAACAGGTTCCAAACCTTACAGGATCGACTGAAGGAAAAAGAAAGGACTGTAGAGAACAACTGGAAAGGTATCAAAGGAGCATTAACTTCAACGTGTCAAGAGGTTGTGGGCCTAAAGAAGCATTATCATAAGGAATGGATCTCTATAGAAACACTGGGCAGGATCAAGGAAAGGAAGAACAAGAAGACAGCAATTAACAACAGCCAAACACGAGTAGAGGCAGTCCAAGCACAAGCTGAGTACATAGAAGCAAACAAGCAAGTGAAAATGAGCATTGAAGCCGTCAAGCAGAAATACGTGGAAGAATTAGCAACGACGGAGGAAAATGCTGCAAGAGAAGAAAAGATGAAACAGCTTTACGATACAACGAAGAAACTAGCAGGGAAATATAGTAAACCAGAGAGACCGGTTAGGTACAAAGAAGGCAGGCCACTAAACGAGTGTTGCTGAACCGGATGAACGACGCAGTAGACGCCCAACTTCGAGATCAATAAGCTGGGTTCCTTAGGGACCGATCATGCACAGACTATATTGCAACACTACGGATCATCGCCGAACAACCAGTTGAGTGAAACTCGTCACTATACATCAACTTCATTGATTATGAAAAGGCATTTGACAGTGTAGATAGCAGAACGTTATGGAAACTTCTTCGACACTACGGAGTTCCTGAGAAGATTGTCAATATTATCCGGAACTCATATGACGAACTACAGTGCAAGGTTGTGCATGGAGGACAGCTGACAGATGCATTCCAAGTAAGGACCGGAGTCAGACAAGACTGTCTACTCCCTTCATTCCTCTTTCTTCTGGTGGTCGACTGGATTATGAAGACCTCGACATCTGAAGGAAAACACGGAATACAATGAACAGCTCAGAATCAATTTGACGATTTGGACTTCGCAGATGACCTAGCCCTCCTATCGCGTACACACGAATAGATGCAGATGAAGACAGCCAGTGTAGCAGCAGTCTCTGCATCAGTAGGCCTCAACATACACAAGGGAAAACCAAGGTCCTCAAATTCAAAGCGGAGAACAGCAATCCAATCACTCTTGATGGCGAAACTCTGGAAGATGTAGAGTCCTTCACATACCTGGGAAGCATCATCGATGAACAAGGAGAATCTGATGCAGACGTAAAGGCGAGGATTGGCAAATCAAGGGTCGCATTCCTACAATTGATGAACATATGGAACTCAAAACAACTTTCAACCAATATCAAAGTGAGAATCTTTAATACGAACGTCAAGGCAGTCCTACTGTATGGAGCTGAAACTTGGGGAACTACAACAACCACAATCAAGAAAGTACAAGTATTTATAAATAGCTGTCTACGCAAGTTACTCAACATCCATTGGCCGGATACCATCAGCAATAGCCTTCTGTGGGAGAGAACAAACCAACTTCCAGCTGAAGAAGAAATTGGGAAAAGACGATGGAAATGGATAGGACACACATTACGCAAATCATCAAACTGCATCACGAGACAAGCCCTCACTTGAAATCCTGAAGGAAGGCGGAAAAGATGAAGTCCAAAGAACACATTACGTCTGGAAATAGAAGCAGATATGAAAAGGATGAATAACAAATGGAGGGAGCTGGAATGGATTGCCCCGAACAGGGTTGGATGTAGAATGCTGGTTAGCGGCCTATGCTCCTTCACGAGGAGTAACAGGCGTAAGTAAGTAACAACTACTAACGATCAAATGTGTGAAATTCTCATTTCTTCCACATATTTACACTTATTTACACTTTCTGATATAGACATTTCTCATGTCCGAATTTAAAAATCTTTATAACTCGTACATAATATTTTCCAAATATATTTGCTAAATGAGTAGTGTTTTTATGAACAGAGTTTGTATCACAGATTATTGAGAAATGAGATATTGTAAATTAGCATGAAGTATTAGGCAGTTGTTCAAACTCCTTTAGTAATTCTTGGGACCACGCATCCTCACTGTTAATGAGTATACAGTGTAGATGCGATGGACCCAGTTAATTGGTAAATTATAGATTACGCGCGACACCTCTACGCTGACAAAGTACCATCAAAGCATCCTATGATGATATAGAAAGTAAAAGGTAAATTAGTCAAACTTTGGACGTTTCTTCTTATTTATAATGCCTAGTTCATATTGCATCATAGTTATTTCGATATATAAATAATTCTATTTTACTAGCGATCCCAAATCCAAATGCCTTAGACTTGGCTATTTTTTAAAATCATTTTATTAAGCACGCTACAGTGCAATATGCTGACAATTTACTGCGATGAGTTTTCTTCGTTTACAAACTTCTATTTGTACTACTTGCAAGTGGCTTAAAACTGATGAATAAATAATGAAGATTTATCACCATCGGTACAAATAAATAAACATTTACCCCTAACTATTATGGTTACTTGTGAGTTTCATATATTTTAAATTCACCAGGATATAACTGAATTTTATTTATCGGTGGGAATTCATGATGTTTATATAGTATAGCGACGTCATTGAAGTTAGGAATCTACAGTGATGGATCCCGAATTAGACATCTGAAGGCCTTATGTCATACTAGAGGTGAGATTGTGAGTAATTATGCTAGGGTTGAAGCCATCACGAGTTCACTTAATCTGCGAACAAGAAACAAGACTCGGTGACCAAAGACCAGTAAGCTAGCTATTGATGCGTCCCAGTCCCGCTAACTAGAGGGAGAAGTCCAAGCTTGGAATGGGGAATTATATTCTGCGAACAGTCAGGAACCAGCGATAACAACAAACACAATTCAAAACGTATATATACAGTACAAAACCGTCTTTGGGGACAGTTACCAACTCATCATTACGAAACGGCCGTTCAGTGCTTCCAGTTTTCTTCATAGTGGTTGTTAAGTGTGTCTTACATTGTTCCTACTCGCTCCCTTTCTACTCTTTTGTATATTGTTTTACACCACTTATTTACATTCAGTAAGCAGTTGTATTCACATCAATTTTCACACTCATGTTGTAACGCAAGTTGTACTGTAATGTTCTGGATTCTTCACATATACTTATAATGTTTATTGTACTTAACATTGTATTTATCATTATATTCACTGTACCGTAATCGCTGTAACGGTTATCCACAGTTTGTGCATCTGTTCAGACGCAACATGTTGCAGTTTCCATATTATTTTGCTCTGGGTTGGGGTTTCGGTTGTTCATAAACTGTTATCAAACTTAGACACAGCTATCAGCTGTCTTTTGCACCACCGTATGTTATAATTATTCTTTATGTTACTGTTAAAGTAAGTTTTTTTATTTTCATACCTGAAGGACGCGTTTAAACGCCCCGGAAACCTAACAAGTTGAGGTTAGTAACTAAATTTTGTGTATTATTTAATAGAGAACCACTATTGTAGACAAATCGTTGTTTTGGAAACTTCGGTTTTGCGTGTATCTTAATCGGGTGACTTGGACGCTTCGATAGACCTAACAACTACTAAATAACAAATTTAACATCTGATACATGACAACATAGATTTACATGTAAGTGCATTATAAAGAAATATGATATTTAAAGTGTCAAAGTTATAATGTATTCACGTTTCGTAGTCTAAATTAGTATTTTCATCAAAGAAAACCCAAGCAACCAAAAGAAGGAAATAAAGGCGAACAAAGGGGAAGTAATTTGGTAAATGCTTTGGAAGAGAAAGGAGAAATAAAGGGGAAAACGCGCGAGAATGTCGCCCTTTTCGCCTGTCCGGGGGAAATATTGCGGATTTCCCCCTTTGTGCCGCTTTGTCGATAAATTGCCGACTTTTTGATTAAATATCCGCTGAATTGTCTACTTTTCGCCTAAATACACACAGAACTGCCTATTTCTGATCCATTGGCATAATCCCAAAGGTCTCCTATGTTCGCCTTTATTCCATAAACAAACCACACTAAAACCGCAAGCCACGGGAAAACGGGTATATTTTTAAATAATTTCATTGAAAAGGAAAAGCGTATTATTGTACAACATTATAGCAGAAGCTTGAGCATCAATCGTTTTGCATATCCATTGTTATTGTCAATTCATTGTTATTTGAAGAGATCTGCAAAAGATGAAACAGATGATATATGATTTATAAGGCATGTGCATTTAATCAAAAGTTCGCTGACACTGAAACACACATTCTCAACACTATTATAGTTTCCCATGTAAGTAATAAAGTAAGTTCTTTTACAAAATAATGTTTTTTGAAAATTAAGCAGAACATCAAGAAAATTGCACGGACTATTGCCTTTAGCCACGTTCATTCGGCTATTGAGAATGAAAACAGTCGTCCTGTGAATTCTGAAGTTCAAAAAACAAAAGAAGTCACAACGATATCTGAATGACATGTCTTGGTAGTGCCGAATACTTTAAGCTAAAATTACGGTTATGTCCGGTAACACTGTTGACTGTAACTATAGGGCCGTAGGGAAGTTATCACTTTAAATTAGTACATACCTGCCCTTCTTTCCTTCCTTTACGCTTTATCACTTTGTCTCTGACATCGTGAAAATAACCTTGTGTCGCCATGTCGTACAGCTTTGCAAGGTCTTTTTCGTTGACAGAGGATGATAGAAAGCGATTTGTTGACGCACCTAAAGTTTAAATAATAAATATGGGCTACTTCGTATGCAGCCGTAAAACCGGTATTTTTGAAGTGGTCGTTCCGAAGAAGTGCCAAGTAACGTGAAGTTACTGGCAACCTCAGGTGTCAAGAGGTACGACAAAACATACCGCATTGATGTTTTCGGATCATCACCCGATAACCTCGTAACTATTGCCACCTGTAATAGGAACAAATTATTAAATTAATACTGATGACTTACAAATCTGTCTCTGGTTTCTTTCTGCTGCAAATCAGTGTCCAGCATCTGCAGTTCCTTTTCAGATGACAAAGGGAACTGCTGACTCGGTATTCCGCAATCGAATTGATGTGATTGTTCGCGTTCATTGGACTTAGATAGTAATTACTTCACATTGATACTTAAGTCCGTAATGACTGAGGACATTTTCTGCATCATTTTGTACAACCTATCAAAGCTGAAAAAGTTCACTTGATGATGCAAGTGACTTACTGGTCCGCTCTAGCACCACCGACATGCTTAGATTCTGATGTTGAAAGTGATATCTCTAATTGCATCGAACTAATTCGTTAACATCTAAACAGTAATGAAACGTACTTGGCAATTGGCGAGACGAATTTGTCAAACAACCGGAATTTCGGATATTGTACATGGCTATTGCCATTGCTATTGTAAAGAAACTAATAGATCTTTGGCAGACTGCAGAGAATCTATAGTGAATTATAGTTTCTATGTTTGTTACTTACCTAATTTGTGAATTGCATTACATTTCAGAACTAACCAGTTGTCATCTGGTCTATCGCAGTTCTGCAGGTGGATATCGACCAGCTCCGTTGGAAAAAGGCAAAGTTGTTTGCCGACAATCCACCGCTTGCCTGCTATCATAAGTTGTGTTCTTGCTAGAGATGTCAACAATGACGTATTTCTTGTTAGCGGGTTAACAATAACATAAGACGTAATTAAATGGTTTATCATCATGGATTAAACACTAATGAAAGACCTAAATTTTAGTAGTCCATCCTCCTTCATATCAGTGACTAAACGAGGCTGTCCGTTTACTACTACTACTACTACTACTACTACTACTACTACTACTACTACATTATCAGGCCTAAATTAACTTTTTCTACTATTCTCAAACATAATTACTTGTTTGTTGGAGACATCATTATCGCCTATTGGGGTAGTATTTGTTAGACAGCTAAGTTGAAGTCTATTACAGAAGGACATTTTTTCAGCATAACGCTGAGCTGCTTGCTTAGCTACTGAAAACCCACTATGCACACAACCCTTAATTTGTCTCATATAAGACTGGAATGGAAAGGCTCAAAAGTTATCTAATGGTCCATGTGCACGAACGTCGTCAGGGAGGTGCTGTAACGAATGCACATTGTAAACTAGGTTTTCAGACCCATAAAACCATTTGTATTCCTTAAGAAAGTTTTGTAAATCTATCCTGGCGGGTTCTACAACAGTATTATGCAATTTCGGATGTGCAAGGAGATACATGGATAACGCTAAACGCCGGAAATTAGGATACAAAGGTTATGGCAATGTTTTTGAAGAATCATAGGGCCTAAATACAGAAGGAACAATCCACATTCAGAAGCTTTCCATGCCGATACAGAGTCTAGTGTACGGCATTTACGCGGAAAGTCGGAAGGAGTACTTGCCGCGCAACCTGATAAAAAATTGTTTGTGTCCCTGATTGAGTTCAAGGTCAGCAGTCTTCTGCGTGCTAAATCTATCCATAAATTAGCCAGCTTTTTTGTGACACCTAGGTACACCATATTCATAGGATCTAAAGGAAAAGTTAAAATCATTTTAATAGAAAGCGTTTCCATAATAGAATGTCCTTGTTGGTAAAAGGCGTCGTCCGTTCGTAAAGTATATACCCCATTTGTAAAGGTCATCTTCCCATCCAGCCGTCTCCCAAGTACAGTACACCTGTCGCAACCTGTCTTACCGTTATGATTTGCCGTATACCTATCAGAAGAACGAGCAGGTGCGTCACATATATCAGCCGTCAACCTAACAGCTACGTATTTATCAAACTTAACACTAAAAAGACACACGTCAGTCACTTCTTTTATTTCAGAAATTGTGTCCGCAGAAAATTCGTTGAATTCTGCCGGTTTAGTATTCCCTCAGTAGATCCCTATCATGAACACGTCACTAAACCTAGGGGCAATGCTCCGTCTTGTATAGGCCATAATTGTTGATTGGAGCTCCTAGACATTAAAAGTCCATCTATATTGATATATGAATTTAAAGAGTCAAAATCAAAAGTACACAACCAAAGCTCAACGTATCTTAGCAGATTAATTTTCAATCCTAGATGGTAGTAAACCCCACTGCCGATGAACTTTGACTCGTACTTGTACTGAATCATTATCATTTACGAAAGTATACAGGTGTTATCAAACGTTTATTACTGTTAGTCGTGTGTTAGTGAGAAGAGAGTCGCTTGATAACGTCTATGTGATTTGTAATTTATATTAAAATGTTTACGAAAACACTTTACTTCACTACCTCAGTTTAAGTGCCATTTCCATCGCCTTACACCTTATTGTTAACAAGTGATATAGATTAGGGGTGGATTAGTAACTTAGACGTGCACTACCACTGTTTGCATACCATTATATTGTCTGACTTTTGAAATTCCAGTTATTTTTCGTTATACCATTACGTACCAGATAGTGTCTACATCCATTTGTTTATCTGTTGGTATAAAACATCAGTCGATTGTACCACGAATTGTATCACAGGTAGATGGTTTAGGTAGAGTTTTGTCCTGTGAATGAGATGATTTGGTCGTGGAGTTTTCATTGCTTTTTGGACAATATCATCAGCACAAACTTCAGCTAGAAGTGTTCAAATGTTTCTATAAATGACTGACAGCTTGTGTAAGATCTATTTTGAATGTCTTGTGTGTGTGAAAATCCCTCCATGTATACACTTGCACTTTGTTCCTATTGAATCCCTTAGTTGTACATTGTTAGTCTTTTGATTACATTTGAGTTGTTAATATTTGTATTTTTTATCACAGTTTTTGTTTTTCTTACTCCTTCACTAAGTTTTGTGTTTCTTCCCGAACTGCATCTATGTTGTTCTACTTGACACTTGATGATAGCCATATTGATTTGCACCTCCTTTTGTGCGTGTTCTATCCAGTCAGGATAGAATAGCGTTCATTTGTTGTGACTGGTAATTTTAATTCTATCTTTTATTAACTTCTTTATTTATTGTAATTAAGATTTGATCGATTGAACAATTATTGATCGAATAGCCGTGTGGTAATATTTGTTGAGGTAACGATTTACACTTAAATTTATGATGAATTGTAGAGCCGTCATTTACCCGATTACTTGTTTTTAATTTTGACGGGCAAGGGCGCGTGTCTTACCTGCCTGAACGGCTATTCTTCAATCCAAACCGTAGTTTGGATTCTACAGCTTGTTCTTTTGGCCTCAATTTTGATTGGTTATTTTAAACCTTTAACCTGTCATTGTTTAATTCTTTATTTTGATTCTTAGTCCTATATTTGTCTATGACTTTTTTGAGTAGTCGATAGATTGGATTCATTTTGATGTGTTCATTGCTAATTGTCTCAGCACCAAGTTCCTAAAGATTTTTTGGTGATCTTAATATTTTCAATATCCGAAACCTTAACATTTTCCAAGTCGAACGTGTACTCACGGTTTCAACATGCATTCATATAAACGAAGGTATGTCATGGCGTTCGACCTCTAATTGATGTTCATACAGGCAAGGATGAAGAAGGCGTCTAATTTGTCCGATATAGTGTTTTTCGCTAGTGGAACAGTTTATTTTGTAAATGGTTTCGGGTTTCTTTTCTTTTGTCATTTCATCCAATAGTTTGTATAGGATTGATTGAAGTTATGTGGTAGGATGATCTGTTTGTTAGTTCTTATACATGAATTACTTTTGCCGGTGTGTTGAGTTAATATTTCTTGATGAAGTTGTGTGGGTAGCTGTTCTTTTGAAGCACAGTCATTAGATATGCTGCAGTGTGCTCTCGCCCTCTTGAATAAAGTCTGTACGCAGTGGATTTTGTGAATTATTTGGTCGTTGCTACCGTAATTGAGAATTTGAACTGTGTGGGTCGGTTTCTGATATACTCGAGTCTTTAGATTTCTTGTGCCGGTTCTGGTGATTAATATGTCCAAGAATGATAGTTCGTTGTTTGATTCATTTTTGATTGTTGAGCTTTTTCTTGAAGCTTCGTATGTGTGTGTGATTGACGAAGAGCAGGTATAGAGTTTCCTTTGTTCAGCTTGGTTCAGTTGAGCTGAATAAGGCTGTTACATTGATGAACATCATCAGTTCGTCGTTGTTGACTTGAATCTACTCAAACTTATGCAAGAATTGTATAGGGAATTCGATGGAGTGATTGAATGTATCCACTAAACCTTTCAATGTTCTTGAAATTTCTCCCGATATATTTTATGTTGGTGTTCCAGGAAATATACGATTGGATGTATTATGATATTTGTTTGTGTACTTTCGGCCTACGGTAGAATCGAGAGATTTCACTGTCCATTATTCGTGCCTTGATGCTTTTCCCAGTTTAATAAAACTGTTTAAGATCCAGAGATCCAACGAATGTTAATTGAACAAGGAAACCTGGACGTAGTGAAAGACTATTTCGTCCTAGTACCTTAAAATAACTCTGAACGTCTTGTAGTGGAATTTTCCAAATGAAATGCTCAGATTTTCGGAAACCTTACTCGATGTAAAACCCAAAGTTTCATGATGTAACTAAAATAAGTTGATCACTTTGAATGCATTTTACAGCCCAGGGTGATGGGGTCACTTCTTATGATTTACATAATACAATACTTTTTATCAATATGAGGTTTCGTAGAGATCGTAGAATTTTCATAGTTTGCATTTGTGGACTGAGCTTAAGGCATCAATAAAAAACAAGAAAGTATTGGACATCCATCCTTTATTTCTAATGATCACTTTGCTTTCAAATTGACCATCATTAGTCCTCTATAATGATGTCTAGACAATGATATGTGTGACTTCATTTCTTGAAATGTGTATCACTATTGCATCGCATTTTGTTTTCAGATCAACTCCGTATTCTCACTATACAAAGGAAACTCATGTCAAATATTCATTATTATCATTACTTACTCCAACAAAGGATCAATGAACAGCATTGTCGAATTACTGTGAAGTGGAAATGGATATAGCCAGGAAATATTCCTTTGTCAACCATATTTATATCATGGCCCTCCCATGTATATGACTTAATGGAGTAATCAATCCTTCGCAAGTTTATGTGCTTCCGCAGATAACTTAAGCTGACTGCTGAGTATGTGTTGATAGATTGAATCAGTGTTCATATATTTATTGATGAGGATTCGACCTTACTGTCATAATATCCAACATTTCGTAGTATTTTTAGAGTTCACGTGATTCATCACTTTAGCGTTTCTACCAAGTTATATT